TCACCTCCGGGGCAGGTGGGGATTGAACTCATGCTGAAGTGGCTTTAGCTTCTTAGAGTTGTGCTTTAACCTGCTGTGCCACCAGGGAAGGCCCGAACTAATTTTTTTTTTTCTGTTTCTGTCGCCTGCTGTTGCTGTCCCATAGTCAATAACTTATCCTGTACTGTGAAGCCTGAAAATCAAAGCTTTATTGACTTTAGCGGAAGACGAATGTCTTAGAAGCAAGTGTCCAAACTCTTGTGAAGTAAATGTGCACTAAGGTTTAACTGGTATTTAAATAAAGCCTCATCTTATTACAAAGTAAACCTTTGGTTAAACTATGAAGCCATTGAAACTTTCGGTTTTGATTCTGCTGTATTTTAGCGTGTAGGCACTAACAAGCTTTAATTTATAACCCACTTCCAGGAGACCTTCATGTTCTTTGTGTCTGAAACATAGGGACTTGAATGAAATGATAAAAGTCTTCCCTGAAGATAGGCGAAACATTGTCAGGCTGCTGTTTCTAGTTCTAGCACAGTGAGAACTTCCTTGCTCCGTGAAATGGCTTTCATTATGTCAGGTATAGAATCGGTTTGAAATCTAAAGTGAGGGGATTGGTCCACTGTCTTGCAGTTATCACAGCCAACTCTTTTGCAAACTCTAATTTTTATCTGAAAAAGAAATCTTTTTCTATCTCCCATTGCCATATTGGCTTTTAGTTTTTCAGTGAAATTCTTCACTAGAACTGAAGAACACCTGAGATACCCTAATAACTTAAGCAGCTTTATTTTACAGAAGCTTTAAAAACTCTTATATTGTTCTATAAAAAATTCCTCATTAAACCATGTTTTATTTGACAATAGTGGCAGGAAATCATTAAATAAAACTGTCTATTTGGCAGAAATGAAGCATTAGCTATCAAGTAAAAGTGACCTCAGTCAATATGCTAATTACCTGCTTCCAGCTAAATGCTTGCACTTATGCACTTGTAAGTTACTCATACATAATGTAAGTATAGCTTATTACATGAGTACTGTTACTAAATTTAAATATAATAATGGCTTAAACAGATTTAAAATATTTTGCAACCATAGTAAGAAGTGAATTTGTTAAGCAAATTTTAGTATCATAATAAAAATATTATTGCCTACTGGAAGCTTGAGGTTATTAAAATGGTTGAAGAGAACTTAAATGCACTGTACCTCAAAGTCACAGATAACACCTTGCAAAATGAAGTGCCCTTACCCTACCTGACCTCTTCAGCACCTGGGCACATGGCTGGGCCACTGACTGCCTGAGTGGTCACCTTCTTCTACTTCTTCCCACAGAATATGAGCCAGCTGTCTTGCATTATGCCCCAGCCTCTTTGGTTGGGAATTCCTCAGGCATGGCTTGACCTTACATGTCTCTTTTTTCTCTTCTTGTAACTCAGTCTTTTTTTTTTTTTGGTGGGGACCATTCCCATGTTGTGTTACCAGTTTCTTCCACTGGACTGTAGGCTCCACGCATGAGACACTCTCAATCAACTGAGCCAACTTTGTGGTCACTCAAATTACTTTCTCTGTGATCATCATGATGAATATCAGACACATTGGTAGCATTTGGAAGAAAAAGATGTCTGGGCTGGAGGATAGAAGTTTGCACGCCACAGCTAATTAACATGGGCTTCTGAGTAAGAGGCTTTTCTTTTGGCATCTTGCCTTTCTTATCTTAAAGGCAATTTTGAGGATCCACTTTGAGCTTAAAAGTTTACTGTCAAGGCAGCTTCATTGTTTAAAAGCAGAATACATACATAAAGTGAGTGGCATTAGGTACAGCTGTCACTTCCTGTCATCCACTACCACTTTCCCCTTTCTATATTTGTTAATCACTTGCTGCTAGCTGAGGCTGTCAGCTTTCTATACATATTGTCAGCTTCCTCCACTAGAACATAAACATCATGGGATCAGGATCTGGTCTTTCTTATTCACCATCATCACCTTTGTGCCTGGAACATGCATAAAGCATGTATGTTGAAAGAATGAATGAAATTTGTGTTCTGTGGAGTTTCTGAGCTACAGATACATTTTTAAATTCAAATGTCTTAGGCTTGGTGGATTTCTACATGCAGCATAATAAGTGTAAGCTTTATTTTCTAGGAACATTGAGTCCTTCTTGAAGTAGTGAAATCTAAAGATCAGATTTCAGTTTTTGACAGAGAAAGAAATTGGGCTTTCCATATCTTCTTTCAGTAGACATAACCAGCTCCTTTCTCATCTGAAAGGTTTGATTGTATGACTAACAAAGAAGAAAGCACCGCTTTGGAAACACTTGCTCTGAAACCCAGATATAACTTCAATTTCACAAACCTTTATTAATCTCCTACTTGCACAGGCATTAGTATTGAGGATATGGAATGGTTCTTAAGCTCCACAGCATTTGTTTATTTGTGAATTGCTGCACACAATAAATATGCAGGGAGCACACCATGCTGGAAGCAGAGCATTCAGATGTGAAGGTGCGGGGTCCCTGCTGCTGTCAGTGGTGCCGGAGAAACCCGCCTCAGCGATGAACTAGATTCAAGTGGTGTGAGCATCACAGGTGAAAGGAGTGCTCACTGAGGGGACGGAGTGCTCCCAGGGAGGACGGCCTGATGTTGAGCTTTGAGGTCAGGGCCCACACTCTGGGTACAGGATGCGCTCCCAGGTTGCTGTGTAACAATACCCAGGGACAGAGTGTGGTTTCCCAACTCTGAACTAAGTAGAGGTTGTTTGTGCCTAGTGAGTTACCTCAGTGCTGGCTTTGTAATGTCACACTAAGAGACATCTGTGATAGGCTACCCTCATTAGCTATATTTACCAGTAACAGGCTGGGCATGTAGTTGAATTTACATGCCTCAGTTTTCTCATGCTCTAGTGTGGCTCTGCAGGGATCTTTCTGATGTGTGAACAGGTCAATGATCGCTATAGCGTGCCTCACAAATCATTTCCTTTGTTGGAAGTTATATTCTTAAGCCTTTGTCAAAATCTTCAGGGCGTAAAAAATTGCTTGGGCTTGAGCCTCCCTGGTGGCTCGGGAGTTAAAAAACACTATCAAGCTATCACCACCCACTGCAGCATGATTCTTATCCCTGGCCAGGGGTCTACATGATGAGACAGACCTCTCCTGTCTTGCTCACTGCTCCCCTCAGTAGATCTGCCTGTTCTGCTCCCTACTCTGTCTCTGGTGAAACCTCTCACCCCTGCACCTCTGGTTTGTACCCCAGTTCTTGTGTGCAAAATAAAAATCTTTTAAAAAGGGGGGGTGGGGGCCCTCCCTGGTGGCGCAGCGGGTTAAAGCACAGCACTGAGAATCTGAAGCCACTTCCGCATGAGTTCGATTCCCGCCTGCCTCCTGCCCCGGAGGAGACCACATGGCGTTGCAGACCTCTCCTGACCCGCCCGCTGCCTCCCTCAGCAGTGTACTTCGTCGATCTGCCTGTTCTGCTCCCCATTCTGTCTCTGGTGAAGCCTCTCACCGCCCCTGAGCCTCTGGCCTGTACCCCAGTTCTGTATGCACAAAGAAATAAATAAATCTTTAAAAAAAAAAAAGGGGGGGTGGAAGAGAAATGTTTAGCCTTAAACTACACCTCCTGTCTAGCTCACTTTGTAGCAGTGCTGTTGACATAGGGGCTGTTCTGCTGTTCCCAGACCTAACCCTAAACCCAACAAATGACAATACTTTTATTTGCCTTTATTTAGGGTGCAGGCTGTTTTTAAACATAATTGTACACATAGATATAGAAGCTGCTTGTATGGATCTTATGAATAATAGGATTAATCATTGCTATAAGAATATTCAAATATTCACTAAATTATTCTCGTCCCCCCCCAAATGACTGTAGTCATAATTAATATTTTTAGATGTGCTACTGTCTATGTTTCTTTGGCAGGTCACCATTATCGCAGATGATAACTGCAGGTTTTTATGCTGGTCAAGAGAAAGATTAACTTACTTTCTGGAATCAGAACCTTTCCTGTATGAAATATTTAGGTATCTTATAGGAAAAGATATTACAACTAAGCTCTACTCTCTGAATGATCCCACCTTAAATGATAAAGTAAGTGTTATACTGAGTGTGTTAAATAGTGAAGTGTCCCTCACATTAGGTGATATATATTTTTCTGACTTTTCATTGATTAGTCATATGTTAAGTAGGGGATGCTTGTAATTTAGAGAACCTTTAAGGAGTCACTTCTCAAGAACAAAATATTTTGTGGTTATTTCTTTTCCATTACCTAGTGACACATTTATAAATGCCAGGGAGCTCCACTTGTGGTTAATGAGGTGCTGCTCTCTTCATACGAGTGTGTAAGCAATTTAGGGAAGACTGAGTCAGTGGGAGGGCCGGGGCTGGAGAAGGCCAGAGAGGGCAGGTCAGCCGTGAGGTGCAGACAAAAATGCTGACAACCCACAACCAGCAGCAAGTCGGCTTTTTAATTCTGTTACCTCCAGTCTGGCACATCCTTCTGATGAGTTTCCCTTCCCAGAAAGTCCACAGGTAGCAAGAGAGTTAAGAGGGTGGAAGCCTGCAGCAATTCAGGTGTAAATTTCAGAGCTGTATAGAATTTCAACAATTTGCTATTTGATATCATGTCCCCCATTTGCTTAGGAGGAAATTAAAATGATTACAGAAAAGGATGCAAACCACTGCTTCTGTTATAGTACTGTACTGTAGCCTTATGAGTCTGGATGGTGTATGTATGTGCTCTTAAATTCATCTTGTTTTTGGTGCTTGCTAAATCACAGAAAAACAAGAACCACAAAAATAAGCTTGTCTGGACTGTTTGTGCAAATAGGTTGCTGCTTATTTTCAGATGAATAGGCTGTTAAATTGACTGAATCTTTATAATGGATTTGTGGTAATAGCTTATAATGAAAACTATAGCTCACATTTATTGTGTACTTACTGTATAGATTTTATTTGAAGGAAAAGTAAATGCTCCTTACAGAGAACATATATAATCTGTGTCCCAGAGATCTGAGAAATCTTAACACTTTGCTTTGTAGAAGACCAAAAAGTTGGAACCTCAGCTCAGCCTCTGCACGCAGATCTCCATGCTGGAAATGAGGAACAGTATAGCGAGCTCCAGTGACAGCGAAGACGGCTTGCATCAGTTTCTTCGGGGCTCCTCCAGTGTGTCCTCCCTTCGTAAGTTATCCTAAAGTCAGTCATACTCCAGGATTCTGGTCGATGTCGCTGGAAATAAACAGTTGACAACTGTGATTAGAGAAGTAACTAATCGAGTAACTATTTGGTAACTTCGGCATAACAATAAAAATTATCCAATGTTTTCTAACCTTTTTTTTTTTTTTTCATATTGCACATCAGGTGAAATCCATCTTCAGAACACTTATTTCTGTGCCAGGAATATTTCTCTTTGCTGTGCTAAATCATTAGATTTAATTACTTTAGCCTCAGGTTTATTTTGCAAAATCTTAGATAATGATACAAATACAAATAACCTCAGATGTGGGCATGTGTTTGAGTATATGTGAATTGCACAACAAACCCGTGTTCATACCTTCCTCCCGGAGACCAGTCCTCACGCTGCGTCTTGTGGCTTCTTTCCCACAGTTTAATGAAAGATGTTAATACTGGAGCACAAAGCTGATACTGATTATGAACTATTTAATTCATCCCAGCATGTAATTCATTAAAAACTGGTAGTTCTCTTTTCTCTTAAATTTTAGCTGAAAACGGAGGGCTGTTTTTGTTTTTCTTTTGCCAGACCCTTCAATATGCCATCCATTTCTTCATATTGCAAATCACATTCCTTGTAAATCAGCATATAAAACCCTTCCTGTAGGACCTTTAGGCTGAAATAACAAAATTTGTCACATCTTGAGCATATGGTAGGTCCTAGTAAATGTTAGGTCTCAACAAGTGACTCAGCTCTGATTATTCTGGATTTCTGATGTGCAAATCTGGACAACCTTAACAGCTGCTCTTGGCCATGGTATTTTAGCTTCATCACTCCAGTGGAGAGAATGGAACATTTATTTTCAGTGACAGTAATTATTTCTTCAGGTACACTCTATCCATAATCACATTTATTATTCACTATAATCCTGCCCGGAGAGGTATATTAGCTTTTCCTAGATGAGTGTAGTGGCAAGCAGCCCAGGCAAAGGCCAGGCAGGTTCACCATGGGTTTGAGCAGACAGAAAAGCAGGTCTGAGAGTCCGCAGTGTTTTCTCTCTCTTCTCTCTCTCTCTCTCTCCCTTTCTCTGTCTTTATATCTCTCTGGTGCATGTTTTCTCTTGGTCTCCCATCCCATCATCTCATAATCTCGATCTCTCATCATAACATGCACAGACCCCCCTGCCCAAGTGCCCACAATTACAGGTGCACGGGTGCTGTGCCCGACGAGGCCCCATGTGTGCATGCTTACCCCGTGCTCTTGCTTCCAAGCACTTTTCACACCAACACATTATCACGTGCGGGCAATGAATCTTAACGAGAAAACAAGACCTCTGTTTCGCTGTAGAGGCTCGCCGCAGGAGGCGGAAAAAGCCCCACTCAACTCCATTTCCCTCAACAAGACACTAGACAATCTCCCAAGTCCCCGATGTAATGAAGAGGAGCTTTTTTTCCTCGTGTGCATAACAGGTGCTGATCCAAGTATGGGACACAGAGCAGCTGCTGTCCGGGTCGTGGCTGTTCTCAGGGCACAGTCAACATGATTTCTCTTACAGCTCCCACTTGGAGACGGTGCAGGCTGCTTCCACTCCCTGAACCAGAGGTCACTTGCCCAGAATCACCTCAGCAAGTGGATCTTTAATCCTCCAGGACTGCTTAGGAAGAAGCCTGGTTAGGGAGGGAAAACAGGTGTTTTGACAGCATTTCATTTTACAGATGAGGACATTGGGGATACAAGGTGCTTATTCACTCGCTCCCGTTCCTCAGGGGCAGGTGCTGGGTGCAAACCTAGGTATGCTGTCATTCCAAACCCTATGCTCTTAGACCCTATTTGTATTTTATAAAGAATTCAGGAGCCCTCCTTGGCACAGTGGGTTAAAGTGCAGCACTGCGAAGCTGGCTGCAGCTGCTTCGGTGCGAGTTCGACCCTCGGCTAGGGAGGTGACCCTCATGGACCTCTTTTATTTCACCTGCTGCTCCCCTCAGCAGTGTATTTCACCAGGAGTTCAGATGTCTGACAAGTCCCCAGATGATGCTGATGTAGGTTCTTGAGTCTCTACACCCCAAGAACAAGACCATAGCATTCCCTCCACCTTGGAGTTCTGCTGATTGCATCCCCACTGTGGGAACTGAGAGGTTTCTTTTATTTCCTATCTACTGTAGGTCTAGATGCAAGCACAGATTCTGGTGACGGCATTGTTTTAAAGATCTCAACCAGTGTGGGGTGTGATGACCCAAACTTAACACAGCATATGATCAGCTAACAGAAGTGCAGTTAGGAAAAAGTGAAGGGCAACTTTAAGTGAATTATTGCAGTAGGAACACTGCTGATCCCATTTCTTATGCCATGTTCAGTTTTCACAGAAGTCTCTTGATGCTAATAGAGGACAAGTCACATCACACAGGGCATTATGTAAGTTTCAGAGACGCATCATTAAGAATCACTGTGTGTACATGATGTAAAGTTCAACACCATGCTTGATCTTAAAGGGAAGGAAGTTAAGCAACAAGATAACCTGAGAAAAGTTGGTTCGTTTCTTCAGTAGCTCATAATCCAATTAGGTTACTCCTCACTTTCCGGTGGCCTCATTTATCTGAGTTTCAGGTTTGAAGTGTGACTGTGAGACAGGAGACCAGGAAGGGACAAGGTGTTCAGACCCATGAGAGGGGTGCCACCCTCACGTGGATGTAACCCTTTCCTCTTCGCTTCTGGGCCAAGGTGCTCGTCGAGACTCCCTGACATCTTCCTGTCATCTCTTCCCTCTGGGGCTTAGCTCCCCATCTGTCAGACGGAAACACAGAGATTGATTGAAATTGGCAGTGTGGAGCTGATGCTGAGCACAGGCATTGTCATGGCAACAGGAGGGCATATTACTGTTTCCTTGAAAGCAGCAGACCTTTCTTTTTGTTAATTGAGAATAAATAACCTATTGTTTGTTTTTAGATCCTGAAGCAATAGTCCATTGGAAATCATCTTCACAAGATTTTGTTCATTTAAACCATGTAATTTTATAGAAATCACAATTAAAATTTAAAGATGCTATGAAATATTTAGAAAGATATTTCCTACTGACAAATTTTTTTCCATTATTTTTTATTATTAATTTTAAGACAGTGCTCTGGACAATCTGTTAATGTCATCTGACTTGGTTTTAAGTCAAGTTAACTTGCATCTGATAACTATTCTTGTCTTGCAAAGATTAGCAACATACAATGAGTTTCTTTTATGTCTTTTACCTTTATTTACCTGGAAAGATACAAAACACCAGTAAAACATTCTTAGTTTTATGAGATAATCAGTTTAACTCATTTGTATTTCATTCCCCTGTGAATAGATGTAGATTTCATTCCCCTGTGAATAGCTGTAGATTAATGTAGTTTTACATTAATTCTAATTCTAATAAGAGGAAGAAAGAGATGTGATTGGGCAGAAGGAAATCCAGGGAAGAGCCCATCAGCAGTTCTCAGTCCCACCCCATCCCCCAAGAGGAAAACACACCAACAACTCCACTTTCTAGATGAGCCAAGTGTAGGTTAGGAGAGTTAAATACCCTGGTCAGGGCTATTCGTTTACTTCTGAAGCAAAGAGGGGCTGAATTTGTTAAGTGCTTGCTTTGCCTTTTACCTGACAAATACCCCTGTCCATGTATTAGTGAAGACTTGTTTGGGACATTCAGCCACTGGTCTAGCAGTTGGCACCCTGAACACTCATATGCGTGACTAGTCTTTCCAGCCCCCACAGAGGCAGGGTCACAGTTTCCCACTTAGGTCTGAGGAATATGGCAATCATTTCCTCTGGGCCGGTGTCCCCACCATCTAGAAGGGGCTGTGCCCTGACTCCAGAGGTCCTTCTCTCACAGTCCATTGACTGGCTTCTAGTCTCAGTTTTCTCTGCTGTAAAATGACAGGAAAGGGAAGGAAAGTTACAAAAATGATCAGTATATACATATAGGTATCAAAGTTTTAAAATTCTTTTTTTTAAAAACATACCTATTTTTTATGCATAGAAGAACTGACGGAGGCCAGAGGTAGAAGGGGTGAGAGGATTTAGCAGAAGCAGAGTGGGGAGCAGAAGAGCTGATCTACTGACATCCACTGCTGAGGGGAGCAGCGGGCAAGATGAGAGGTCTGCTGTGCCGTGTAGGTCAGCTGCTTGGCTGGGTTCAAACACAGGCTGCCATGGAAAGCCCATGTGGAGATAGCACTGAGAAAATCCTGAGGTCACCAGGAGGCCCTTTAAAATTTTTTTAATGGGAAGAACTGACCCCTTCCAATTAATTGCTCCCTGGGAATAATTACTTTGGAGTAACGTTGTCCAAAATACCAAAGGATATGCTGTTATTTGTTGATTTACCTACTTAAAGGTTATCTACTGGCCTAACTCAGTTCACCTTTAACTGCTCTCCATCTGTTCAATATGACAGTACCACCTGTTTTTATTATTTTATTGTTTACCTTGATTACATTAAATAATACACTTACACCTCTATTTTTCTCTCTGCAGCATATTAACAGTGAAGACAATATCTCTCCTGTTTCTTATTCTCCCCCCTTTCATTTTCAAATTATTGTGGGTCTCCTCTTTAACTTTTAAGCAGCTAAAGTTAATAATTTATACATCCTGTTCTCTCTTTTTAAAAACAATATTGCTTCATAATATACATAGCAAAGTTTATCATCTTAAGCATTTTTAAGAGTACACCTCAATAGTAACATATAATTTGTCTTTTTTTATAACTACAATTAGGACTTCCTGCTTAAGCTGTGAGTTGTTTTTACAAAGTGTAAAGCAGTAAACAATGTTGAAATTATTATACATTATTAAAAACCAAATGCGGGCAGTAACTCCAATTGTTAGCTCTAATGTCATGCTTCCTGCTCTGTTCCAAGAAGACAGTTCCTAATACCAGCTTCAAGTGGATTCCCTTTTCCTATATAAAATTCTTCTACAAGGTTATTTCACATTATGACCTTCCATTAGTCCTTCAAGTTTTGTTTTGTTCTTTAAT